GAGAGCATGAGAGGGAGGAGGGTCAGAGGGAGAAGCAGCCTCCCTGCCGAGCAGGGAGCCCGATGCGGGACTCGATCCCGGGACTCCAGGATCATAACCTGAGCCGAAGGCAGTCGTTTAACTGACTGAGCCACCCAGGTGCCCTAGAGGGAAGTAAAATCTTTGCAGCGTTTTCTAACCACCCAGAGCCCACAATTCTAATTTTTTTTTCATTAAGATTTTAGAGCATAAGCTGGGGGTGGGGGTGGACAGAGGGAGAGAGAATCTGAAGCAGAGTCCACACACAGCCTGGAGCCTGACGTGGGGCTCGATCCCACGACCCTGAGATCGTGGCCTGAGCTGAAACCTAGAGTAGGACGCTCAACTGGCGGAGTCACCCCAGTGTCCCAATTCTAAACTGTTTTTTGTGCTGTATTTGGATTACCCACCCCACAAGAGAGAAAAACCTAGATGGGGCAGAAAGTTATTTTTTAATGTAGGTAAGGATGAGTTTTAGGAATCAATACTAAAAACATGGGTATTACAGTTGAAATTTTGGAATACATTTTTCAATAAAAGTGTTTCTTTGTTGGCAAAACTTGAGACTGGTGTTGAATAAACCGTCTTTACTTGGTTTTTCCTCACAGTGTGATTAGCTGAGGCTAGAGCAGGAGGCTGGTGGATACGTGTGTGCACATGCATGCCCACGCCGGTGGGTGCGGGGAGGAGGGCAGCTCGCTTTCCTGAACTGTCACCTGCTTATTTGGCTGTGTGATGTTCAGGCGTTCCCACATAGCCTTTCCCAGGCATTGTAACCACTGGGAGTTAAGCCTGCAAAGGTCAGTGGCCCCCAGGGACTTCAGGAGTAGGATCTCCTGCCCACTGTGACCTGGGATGGGGACGCAGCCCTTCCCCCAGCTCCCTGACCCTCCTGGTGTTTGGGATCTCTTAATAAACCCCGTGACTACTTGTGTGGATGTTTTGAAACCTTGCCTTTTGTCAAAACAATGCTGGGAGTTTTCACTTCCCAGAATGGAAGCAGAGGGAGCCACCTGCTGACCCCCTCCATGGGGTAGGTCACAGCCTGCATATTCTCCAGTGTACCAGCCTGGGCTCAGCAGTGGGGCCCCCATGGGAAGCGGGTGTCCGGCTCCTGCAGCTTCCCCTTGAGGAGAGGCAGGGAGAATGCTCGGCTCTTTCCTGGATGATGGATTTTTCACCTAGTGGTTCATGGGTATCTGTGGAAGTCGTGCGCGCTGGACTGTAGGAGAGGGTCTGGGATGGGAGGAGCCCGGCTCTCCGTCGGTCCCTTCCTTTGGAACTGCAGCACCAGCCAGCAGCATCTGGCATCCTATCACCACACCCCTCCTGCCCCCCAGAACGTGGCTCTAGGAGAGAGCGTACCTGTGATGCCCGCTGAGGCCTCTCCAGCCGATGGGGACCCGGAGGACCACGCCGCATTCCGTCCAGCCTGGGCAAGAGCAGTCCCCCACCTCTGAGCTCAGGAGGCCGATGGCGGGTCTGGGAGGCAGGGCTCCAGCGTGGCGTGAGGGAACCCAGAGACACTCACAGAAAAGCTGTTTATTTACATCACATGTTCTTCAAAGTAACAAAGTCCTGGGTGAGTCCTTCAGCCAGCCCTTGTGGTCAGGCTCCCGGTGCTCCTCCTGCCCCCCCACCCCCTTTCCAGCTATGCGGCTCCCCTGTCTGGGTTGTTGGCGTCTGGGGCTGAGCGAAGGACCCCTTCCCTGGCTTGTTGCGGGTGGATGCAGGCCAGACCTCCAGCTCCTGTGGTCCTGTCCTTTGCTGGGTGGTAGGGTGAAGAGGGAGGAGGACCCAAGGGCGGGAGTGGCTCTCTGGGGCCCCAGGCAGCCCCTTGGGAGTTGGGAGCGGGGGGCTGGGAGCCGGCCATCACGAGTACTTGGTGTTGGAGATCTTCTTCCAGAGCAGGGTCTTGAGGTGGCTCAGCACCAGTGAGTGGTGGGCCTCCACCTGGCTGGCCAGCCCGCTCAGCGTCGTGCAGGTGCGCAGCTGCTTGCCCAGCTCCTCGTGCAGGTCGGCGGGGGCGCCGGGCAGCAGGTAGTCCCGTAGCAGCTCGCACACCTTGGCCAGGTTGGGCTGGATGAGGTCGCCCTTGCACTGCCTCATGAGCTTGTCGCAGGGGGCCCTGCAGTCCCGGCCGTAGGTGCAGTCCGAGCTGCGCTCGCAGTGGCGGCCCCGCAGGAAGCGGCGCACGGCGGCCTCGGGCGCCACCTGCTGCAGGTCGGCCATCTTGAAGTCGTACTTGGCCGTGTAGCCCACGTTGGCCAGCGTGGTCTCGCACATGTAGAAGGTCCCGTAGGCGCCATGGAAGAGCTCCTCCACAAACTCCAGCAGGCCGATGGCGATCTTGGCCCTCCAGGGCCACGCGGGCCCCAGCCACCGCTGCAGGGCTGCATGCAGGGCGGGGGGCAGCAGCGGGCGCAGGAGGGGCGGGAGAGCGGCCCCGTGCCAGGAACCGTGTGGGACCCCCTCGGTGACATAGAGGTCCCCGCAGGAGCCCAGCAGCCGGGACGCGTGCTCCTCCTGGAGGGACAGCAGCAGCAGGAACTCGTTCCGTTGGAGCAGGGCCCACACCGACTTGGCCTCGGCCAGGGACACCCTGCTGTCCTTGTTGAAGTCGGCCATGAGCAGGACCTGCCCAACCAGCGCGGGCAGGGAGGGCAGGTCTCCCAGGTTCGCCTGACACGGGAGACCCAGAGAAAGGGAGACCGCGTCATTTCAGGGCCAGCGAGCCTGACTTGGTGGTGGGTTTCTACGTTGGCAGGGTGCCCGCCTTGACCTACTGGGCTAGGACCCCTGGGTGTCCGCTGGGTGCATCTGCCAGCTTGGGAGAGCCCGGCCTCCAAGCACACGGAGGGGACAGCCCAGGGCTGTGCAGAGCCCCCTTGCCGACCACTGGTGCACCGTCCTTTCTCCAGGAGCCGCTCCTGGGGCCCTCGTGTCCCTGCATCTCCACTGGTGCTCGGGGAGCTGGGGAGCGGGCACTTGGATCTGCTCTCACCCCGCTTCCCATGCGCGGGGTCCTCTGCACCCAGTAGGTGCTCCCCTGAGCGAAGGTCTGCCTGGAGCTGAGGTCCAGCCAGATGCCTGGCTCCTGCCCTGAACTCCGCACGGCCCCCAGGAGCCAACTGACCTTGAGAAAGCTGAGGGTCATCTCCCGGAACTCCTTAATTGAGGTGCCCCGAGTGGGCTTGTCGAACAGCACCAGATCCTGCCGGGGGGCCGGGTCCGACCTGGCCTTGGGGTCCAGGCCCTCCTCGATGCCGCACTTAATGGTCACCTCCTTGCCCTGCCACAGCCCACTGTACACCTGCATGGGGCCACAGGGGTCCTCGAGCAGACGTCCCCTCCCGCTGCACCTTGCGCCCGAGCCCCGGGCCCCCAGGCCACGGGCCCCAGGGCTGACCCCAGCCAGACCCTCCTGGGCTTACCTGCTGGCCTGGGACGGAGGACAGGCACGTCCTCCACTCTACCTTGTGCAGGTTGCACAGGTCCTGGCAGATGGAGCCGGAGATGATGCCCTTGTGGTACTGGTCACACTGGGGACAGGAGGAAGACACCAGGAAGTGGCCTGAGGAGGCGGGGCCCCTCCCCCCACCATGCACATGTGGCAGGTTGAGGTCCCATCACATCTGCCGGTTGCCCCCTGGCTCTTCAGCCCCTCCACGTCTCAGAGGGGCCCCCAGACCACAGCAGCCGGGAACCAGCAGGCTCCGGCCACACCTGACCATGCGGAGGGCCAGGGCACCCACG